TTACTATTAGAAAAGTACTTCACAAAGTGAAAAATAATCTGAAAACATTGCAATAAAAATCTTTTTTAGTACCAGTACCTTGCTGACTACTACTTACCTAAATCCAATACTAAATAGTACATAAATCGTAAAAATGTGGAAGGCAGTTATTTTACCAACAGTCTAAGATAAGTATTTAGGCTAAAATGGAAACACCCTTTAAAAAAACAAATTGGGGGTTGGCAAATTAGAAGTCCTGATCATAACATTTATATAAAATCTAAGGAAAGATTCTGGAAATATAAAGGCATATACATCAATAACTTAAAATGAGCATGCCTACTATATGCATGGCAGTTCTAGGTGCTGGAGATACAGCACCAAAGAAGAATGTGTGCCCCTACTCTAGAATGTAAGCTCTTTGAAGGAACTGACAAGGTCCGTTCTCTCAAGGAAGATAATATCCTATGGACCTAGAGTCTGTCATACAGAGTGAAGTAAGTCAGAAAGAGAAAAACAAATACCGTATGCTAACACATATATATGGAATGTAAAAAACAAAAAACTGGTTTCTGAAGAACCTAGGGGCAGGACTGGAATAAAGACGCAGAAGTGGAGAATGGACTTGAGGACACAGGGAGGGGGAAGGGTAAGCTGGGACGAATTGAGAGAGTGGCATGGACATATATACACTACCAAATGTAAAATAGATAGCTAGTGGGAAGCAGCCTCATGGCACAGGGAGATCAGCTCAGTGCTTAGTGACCACCTAGAGGGGTGGGATAGGGAGGGTGAGAGGGAGACACAAGAGGGAGGAGATATGGGGATATATGTATATGTATAGCTGATTCACTTTGTTATACAGCAGAAACTAACACACCATTGTAAAGCAATTATACTCCAATAAAGATGTTAAATAAATAAATAATTTTTTAAAAAAATAAATAAAAAATAAATCTTCAGGAAAAAATAAAATAAAAATAAAAAATTTTTTAAAAGATAATATCCTAGAGGAGAAGACTTGTTTGAAGGAGGAACTTACTATACATCTGTTCTAAAGATTTTAATTTAATTAAAATTCTGCTGAGCATATAATATAGGCAAGGTATTTTATAGAGTTATGGAGGATACAATCTAAGTATAAGGCAGGGGTAGCATTCCAGGAGGGAGAGGCTCACACTTGGGTTCACATCATGGACCAAGGGAAATGGTCTCCAGTAACAGCCTGTGCTTCCCAAAAGTTTACAGTCAGGAAGGTTAAAACATATTTCAGTGGCAGAAAGGATAGCTCCTAGTATCCTAGGAGCTAGGCAAATAGTAAAGGTTCTTTCAAGGGCTTTGAAGGATAGTTAATTTCTAAGAAGCAGAAATGAAAGGAGAACATTCCAGATAGAAGAGACTTAAAATCTAATTTTCAAAACAAACCAAATGATGACATAGCAAACTGAGTCCAAAATCAGCTGACATTTTGTATTCATATCACGCCTTTCTTCAAAGGGTTGATTACTTCATCATTATAACACCCAGGAAGAGATACAAGAGAATGTTTTGGCCATTTGTAAAAGTGTACCAGAGAATAAATAGCATCTCCCACTTATTCTATGGGCACAATATCTAGGTCTTCTTACTTTTAAACTATAGCTTATGGTCTAGACTAGACTAAACTGTAGCCTTCTCTACCATTGCCAATAGCTTGCTTAAATGTTTACTTTGATCCTCAGTAAGGACAAAAAAATCTACACTCTCATTCTCTATGTGATAAAGATACAGGTAAAAACTAGAGTGAAATAGTTTAACTGCCTCCATTATATTTTAATAAATAATAAACCTTTACATAATAGGCAAGTGGTTATGAATAGCTATTTTATAACGTAAATACAGCTATTAAAACGACTTTCCAGTTTACTTGACAGATTTGACACAAATTGATTGTATTTTATATGTATTCAAGGACACATTTTTCTGTCTGAAAAAAATGAAAATGAGCATTATGTAGGTTATATGATGGGATGGGCATTATGTAAGACAACTTTGATGAGTTTGTTTTGTATTATCTATAGTTATTAATTCTACCAAAGATATATGCTAGTGCTCAATACTGATCATAGGGCAATTCAAATTTAAGGACACAATACCTAAATACAAGAGTAAAACACAAAGAAACATGGTCTGCTCTAATGGCTTTAATTTTTGCATCAGAAATCATGAGACTCCAAATTACACAACTATCAAAGGTGACAAATTTCTACCTTTGTCCCTCCCTCTCATTTTCCCCTAATGAGTCTAAGGATTTAAATTTTTTCTATTAACTTCCATTTCCCAACAACCTCTCAAAATGTCAATCTATTCATGAAGATATGTCTACCTGGCTACTTTTTTTTTTTTTTTTTTTTGGGTGGTATGCGGGCCTTTCACTGTTGTGGCCTCTCCCGTTGCGGAGCACAGGCTCCGGACGCGCAGGGTCAGCGGCCATGGCTCACGGGCCCAGCGGCTCCGCGGCATGTGGGACCTTCCCGGACCGGGGCACAAACCCGTGTCCCCTGCATTGGCAGGCGGACTCTCAACCACTGCACCACCAGGGAAGCCCCAACTACTAATATTTTTTAAGTTATATTTTCAATTCTAATTTTGGGACTCAGACTCCATGAGATCTTTTTCACTACTTACAAACTTTGGACAAAAAATGATATGCGTTTAAATGCTGATTTCTTTCCAAATGGCATGGGGAAAAGCTGCAAAGTATACATCTGCCTAGCAGAGGGAGATTATGCTTTTTGTGACCATTCCGTTAAAAATAGTTGCTGAAACAGTACTTAAATTAGAATTTATCTCTAACATTCTTTATGCCTTTGAGCTGCTTTAAATATGTAGAAAACTGATAAACATGTCTGAACTTTAGTTCTGACTAGACTGGTCTCTGCTCAGTACCATTCTAGGAAGGGCGTTGTCCCCTATTTTCAGGTAAGCTGTCATAAAAACTTACTACGAGCCAATGCCATGGATACCTTTAAAATTCTAAAGTACAACTTTGCATTTCACAACACCTGCTTTGTATTCTTTTGGTTCTCAGTCTGGTGACTGAGTCATAAAATGTTTGACATGGCAGAAAGGGAATCAGCACATTCTGGTAAGAACATAAGCAACATTTTTAAATTTTAAAAGAACATGTACAGAATGAGAGAAAAAGAACACAAAATGGTCCATCAGCTTTCCCTCCTAGAAGAACTTCATGAATTCAAAAAATATGACTAGTCAGCCACCATAAAGGTAACAGGTAGGAAAGCAAATACCAAGCCCTAATGTAAGAAAACTGAGGGAGAGTGCTGAAAATGGAGATTGAAACCATTCCTGGCTTAGATAAACTCTATACTCCTGAAAATACAAGGTACAAAGAGTGGTCTTTAATTGGAGATTTCACAAACTGACCAGATTTTCACTTGGGTAGACCCTAGAAACACACAAAATGTATGTACCCCTTTCAAGTCCTCTGAACTTTACCATAAGGGACAGAACTGCAGAGAGTGTTTCTTCTATAGCAGTTGCCATTTGAAATCCCAAACCAGTCCCATCCAGAAAGTTCCATTTATACCAAAACTGCTGACTTGAAGTTTGCAAAGTCCATAATTCACCAAGAGAAGGGATCAGCTGTAGCCTTTAGAGAAATTCTAAGCTCCTCTGCCACTGAACAAATGGGAAGTTTCTTAAAGGAAGATGCTCAAGAAAACATCTCAGGGATAAAGACCATAAAAGTACTGATAGGCATTGGTCTCACCATGGCTGTCCACTCTTAGGTTCTGATTTCCTAAAAATAGACCTCAGGGTACAGATCCCTCTTCCCCTTTGCCCTAAGAAAGCTAAAAAACTCTCCAAGGGGAGTGGCTACTTCTCTCTGAAACCTGATGCTAGCTGTGAGGTCACAGCTTCTCCAGAAATAAAAGGCAGCCTCGGCAAGGGAGGCCCCCACTCAGGGATTGGAGCAGCCCTCAACTCACTCTTCAGCTTCGCCGCTGTCTGCAGCCCAGAAGCTCCATCATGGTGGGTCCTGTGAGAAAACTACTTGTAATTTATAGACAGATATAGACAGTAGATAGGAATAAAATCGAGGAGAGAACATATTCAGTATGTGTGTAGAATCTACTTTTGGTTTTTATTAAAGTGGGTTGAGGACAGGAGAGATTAATTCAAGGTATTATGCCAACTGGAAAAATATGTCTTACTCCCAAAAACAGTACTTTATGCTTCACCAACTTTCTGTATCACATAAGTTTTATTATATCTAAATTTAGGGAAAAACCTGCAAAAGGTATAGCAAAATACTATACCTTAAAAAAAATCCAATGATGCTGATAACTAAAATTAAATAAACTACTTTCCATGCATTGGGTAAAAATATACTGGTTAAATAGAAGAAAGACTTCAAATGACCTTTTTAATGCAGTGTGTCTATATTAGACATATGTTAAATACACCATAGGTTATTATATTATTCCAGAAAGAATTTGATTTAGCATTTGTTAAATCATTGACTCATGGATTAAGATACAGAAAGATGTTCCCTAACTATCTTTTGCAACAGCTTTTTATTTTTCCTAGATTCAAAAGTATCCTAAGGCAACCTTCTTATTCTATGACACCTACATAGCTTCCTAAAAATCTCAGAGCAGAGAGCACTCTCTTCTGTCAACGCATTTGAAAGAGTACTAGTTGTTTCTTTCTTTCTTCCTCTCTCTCTCGCCATTGCAGTCCTTCAGTGCTGACCAGATTGCTGGTAAGTGAATTGAGCTTCTCTATTCCAGAGGCAGGCAGAGCGCTTCTTAGCCTCTGAAATATCACTCATCTCCAAGACATGTTACTGCATGGCTCAACCTCTTAGTATCCAAGCTATGCCTGAACTCTGAAAAGTAGGCATACAGTTTCAGCTTACTTTGAAGATTACTCAGGGAATGAGCTTGGATACATTTAAAAATCAGGACATTTTTGTTTGGTTAAAATATTCTTTGTGGTTAATTTCTTTCTAACAGATCGAGTTCTCTCAGCAACAGCAGGATGGTAAGTCTAAACGATATAATATGTGCACACTCATAAAGATGGCATGTGAGAAAACCAACGCTCCTGAGATGAGATTAGCTCTTTCTAATTATCCCCACTGATGTTGTCACTCTAAATATAAATGCTCTCAATCACTCTAAATATAAATTCTCTCAACATGAACCCTTCACGTATAATCAGTAATCAAAAGTTTAGGCAAACAAAAGCTAAATACCACAAAATAATTTCTTGTATTCACTGATTTCTAAATAGAACCAATTTGATACAGTAGGTAATACCATACATATACCCCCCCAAAATATGTGGAGTCTGGATGGCTAATTTGTTAATCAAATCCCTAAAGAGTGATTTGGCAGGTCTAAATTATTCAATTTAGAAAACAAAATTGATTCTAAAACTGCCCAATTACCAAATACACATAATTTCAGTGGCCACCATAGTGAGTTGAGAGAAATAGCAGGTGAAGTGGATATAGAAAAAATGTGCAGTCAGAGAAAATGAGGGGAAAATTATTTATCAAAAAACTGTGGGAGGAGCCTTAGCCATCTCCTGGTCCATCTTTAGAGATGCAGGACAGGCTCCCAGAGAGGTGTTGAGACTGACTCAAAGATCCAAAGAATTAGTGATAGGGTCAAAATCTAATATTACTTTAAATTAATTAGAAATTTATTTCATAGAAACAGTTTCTAACTAGAAGACTTCAAATTCTGGAGATTCAAAAGAATATGAATAGTTTCCCTAAGACTTCCACTTTTTCTTCTTCAGGTCTTTGGATCCAAGAGATCCTGTGCCCTAAGACTCTTGTTTCACTGGAAAGTGTAGGGCAGAATGTCTTATGAAGTGAAAGAGTCACATATTTAAATAAACTGAGACAAAAATACATCTATGGAAGGGATGGAAGAAAATTTCAGTTATACAATACTGTATAAATTGGATATTGGTCATAATGATAAGTATGTATATATGTTATGATTTATAATATATAAATAATTGTGATAATACTCATAGGTACATAATTATAATTATACTCAGTTCTCTATCTAAAGGATTCAACATTTTTCAGCCTGTTTCAGTGTCTGGAATATCTCATGTTTGGAAATCAGTTAAGAAAAAAAAGGGTATTTGCTATTGTACAGACTCATATACATCTACATCATGGTTAATGCCTTCATGCAGACAAATCAGATGACCTGATGACTCAGAACCCATGATCATTTGAAATTATACTACAAAGGACTAATTTTTCTTATTGAAAACAGTTGGTAATTCTACTCTAATTTGTTTGATTTTTAATGTATTTTAACTAATGATGCTGCTACATTATCTGCTACTGTACCCCAGTCCTCTTAAATATCTAATTTATGTGTCATTATGACTGCTAAACTATGGTAGAACCAAGCAATAGAAGACTTAAAAACCCTTTCAGAGACAGAGGACTTGATGCTGAACATTAACCATATTACTCCATATGTAAAATAGGTTTTAGATATAGAGGTTCAGTAAACATCGGTGTGGTGGACTGGTTTTCTCCTGTGCCAGGAAAACAAATGTAAGCATTTTAAAATAAAAGGAAATATTACATTTTAAGAAATAAATAAAGACATGCTTTGTTTGCTTCCTTCTTCAGTGATTAGAGTTTTTCTCATGGCTGCTCTACTTGAATGTATCACAAGTTTGGGGTAAAGAAAAAAACACTAGAAAATTATAGCATTCTAAAGGTGTAAGTCCTGTGCTGTCCAGTAGAGTTGCCACTAGCCACATGTGGCTCTTTAAATTTAACCTGTAATTAAGTAAAAATAAATGCATTTAAAAGTCTACTTTCTCCTTTGCACTAGTCATATTTTAGTGCTCAAAAGCCACAGGTGGAAGGTAACTACTACCCTTTTGGGCAGCCCAGATACAGAACATTTCAATCATCACAAAAAGCCCTAGAACAGTGTTGTTCTAGACTAAGGGCTGGCAAATTTTTTCTTAGAGAGCTAAACAGTAAACATGTTAGGCTTTGTTGGCAGAACAGTCTCTGTAAAAACAACTCAGTTCTATCACTGAGGTATGAAAACAGCCATAGACAATACATAAATGAATGGGCATGTCTGTATTCCAATAAAACTTTATTTACAAAAACAGGCAGCCAGCCCGTAGGCAGTCATTTGCTAACCCATGTTTTAGACTCTTCAAGAGAATAACTAAGCCTTAAAAATCTGGTGTAGGAAGAGCAACATTTTTCTGGCCTTGGCCTTTAAATCAACAAAAGGGTTCATGTCAGAGAGATTCTATTACAGCTCATAAAACCCTATTTCTACATCAAGATCTGACCAGGGTAATAGTGAGCCCTCCGAGCAATCTGCATGAAAGCCTAGAGCCAGTAATAAGAATAGTTCAGTTTCACACGTCCCGTAGAAAGATAAAATATAATATTTGACTAATGACCCCACAGTGCCTGCCGCATGTCTTTTAAGTTGGGGAAATGATCTGTGATGTCAATTTGCATAGAACTTGAGGCGGAAATTTCAGCAAAGAATGATAACATGATTTATAGTTGATTGTTAACATAATGTCTGGTGCAATCTTAGATTAGGGGATGAAGGGATAGTTAAATAGGATGTTTTGCTGAGTAATCTATCTAGATAGCATCTCTTCATCTGAGACCACTAATGGACTAAAAAGAATGTTTTCACCTCTACCAGTTCATTCACAAATGGGTTTTTGAATGTTGTTGGTATTAACTCCAACAAGCTGCCATCAGTACTTTTAGGTTCTCCAGAAATTTTAATTTAGTTAAGTTTTAAAAGTTCAATTAAAATATCTTTACTTGCCCCTAAATCCATAGTAGCACCTCTTTCTGTCCTTTTGGTGTATACTTCTTAATTCCTTGTTAATGTAATCCTGAAAGGCAAAACCAATTCTATCAAAGGAGAATGACAAAATTTAGGGAAAGTAAACAATAGAGTGATTGTGATAAAAATAGACACTTTTAAAATATGTGCTTACATACACACATGAATACAAGTAAAACTAGGGAAATCTGAGTAAAATAGGTGGAGTTTATCAATGTGAATATTCTGGTTGTGATAGTGTACTATAATTCTGTAAAATGGTACTATTGGGGGAAACTAGACAGAGTATTTAAGAGATCTCTGTATTTTTTCTTAAAATTGCATGTGAATCTATACTCATCTCCATAAAATTTTAATTTAAAACGTGTACTTACATTCTAAAGCTAATACAGCAACATGTTATTATACGTTATTATGAAAAAAGAGTAAAGTTTAAAGTGATCACCATAGCAATAGATTCAAACAAATAAGTCTTCAGAATCAGTTACACTCGGAGCCTATTAGAGTCATACATTGAAGTGGTTAAATGACACTATAGAACTTAGAAATTGGCCTCATCTACTTTTTTTCCTGAAAAATGAAGTTACTCCTGAAGAAAACTAGTTAAGAGAAGAGCCTAGGAAATTTGTACCTCAAGAGCAGGTTTTTCTGTATAAGTTAAGAAGTTTGGTTTAACCTCACATGACACAACCCCGATTGAAAAATTTGTTTTCTTGAAATTTTATTAACGTTGTTAATTATATAAGGGATTTTATGAGGAATTCTTAAGATTTCTCAAGGCCTCAGAATTTCTTAACCCAGTCCTGTGTCCAAGGCAGATGAAGGAGATATGAATAAATATGACTAGCAGTTTCAATTTCCATATCTGATGAATAAGAACATATGACTTGAAACTGGAAATCCTGCTTTAAAATAGACCCCAAAAGAAATGTCCAAAGGGAGTTGTCAGTTGAGCTTAGAAAAGGGAAAGCCCAACAATAAAAACTTAAGTGACTGGCAAAAGCTGTAGAGGAGAGTTTGAACTGGATCCCTGATGAAGTTTGGATTAATTTATTGGTCTGAAGTAGAAAAAAAGCATCCTAATGTTTCTTGCTTCTTTCAGAATTCAAGGAGGCATTTCTCCTATATGACAGAACAGGCGATAGCAAGATCACCTTAAGCCAGGTTGGTGATGTCCTTCGGGCTCTGGGCACAAATCCCACCAATGCAGAGGTCAAGGCGGTTCTGGGAAACCCCAGCAATGAAGGTAAACACGTTTTTCCAAGAAGTTGGGAAGTGTGTGTGTGTGTGTGTGTGTGTGTGTGTGTGTGTGTGTGTGTGTGTGTGTGTGTGTGTGTGTGTTTATGTGAGAGAGAGATTTATAGAGAAGTTCCACAGAATAGGGTTTAATTTACTTTTTATGGTAAGTGTGCCTCTTGGCCATCTAGAGTCTTAGTTTTTATCCTTATAAAATAAGTTAACCTTCCTTTAGAATTTGTAAGCATGATATAATTTCATGTTAATGAAAGGAAATGATATCTAATGCTGATATCATCATCATCACCATGTTATCTAAACATACCCTACAGTACTTCCCCGGTGGTCCAGTGGTTAAGACTGCACGTTTCCAATGCAGGGGACATGGGTTCGGTCCCTGGTCGGGGAACTAAGATCCCATATGCCTGCCGCGGGGTGCGGCCAAAAAAAAAAAACCATCTTAAAGGAAACTCAGCTTTCTAATTTAAGAACACACAGATGACACCTTAATAAAACTATTTTCTGTTTCCAAGAACTGTAAAAAGACTTAAAAACCTAAGCCAAAATCTGCATTCAGTCCCCCAAGGTAAATCCTAAGGCAAAAGTCAGTGATCTGATATGTAAGAGGCAAAATTGAAGAAGTCATTGCTGGATACAGTAATCCAGTCATTAGTCTGGAACAAGGAAATTTTTTCCAATCCCATGATTCATGGCAAGTATAATAGTCTATTGAAAAATATCACTCTGAACAAAAAAAAAAGGAGACAAAATTGAAGTTTTTTCAAGTAGATATTTGGGCTATTTATCCTTGCCATAAGGAAAATAAGGAGGGGAAGGCAAATAATCTTTTTTTTTTCCAGAAAAGACCATTTTCCTTTATTACAAAAGAAAAAAAATTTGATTTCAAAAAAACCTACCTCTAAATCAGTCTGCAGGAATTTTCCTCAAACTTCATTTTCTTCAGAGGAAAATGTCCAAGTAAATCATGCAAAAAGTAGCTGGGAGCATGAGATAAAGGAAGAGCGTAATAAGCCAAATTCATCTTTAAATGCCATCTTCTAACTTATCAAACATTAATCTTTAATGGAATTATTAGGTAAATGTTCATTTATTCAGCATTCAAATTTAATCTTCTTAATATTACTCAATGTACTAGATTTCTACACTATAAGGAAAGACTGCTGAATGGGAATTTTGATTTTAGGGGTACATAACTTTATCCATTTGTATACATCAGGATAGTCTGTTTTATACTTTTGCTGTGAATACTGTTTATCTTGTCAGAAGATACTAAAAAAAATTCTTATCTCCAGGCCTCTAAAACTGCAGAGAAATCAGGAGATCGCAAAGTATTTAACACACACACTCTCCTCACAGGCTTCTTTTCTGAATTACTTAAAATTTAAAGAAATTGAAGGCTCTACAAAAGCTCAGACAAAAGTGGAATATATATTAAAGTTCAGTTAGGTTTTGCTACATTTATATGTTAATGGATTTGTTATCAGTATATTTCTATATTGCTTCCCTAGTGTTTATAGAAAATATTAAATTGACAATACTAATAAAATCAGTAGCTAACACTGATTGAGCACTCAGTTTGTCCCAGATATTGTAAGAGACTTTGCATGTATTATCTCATTTAATGCTCACACTACCACTACAAGGTATCTCTTTTGAGAGATGAAAAAGTTGAGGCACAAAGAGGTTAAGGAACTTGCCCATGGGGCTTCCCTGGTGGCGCAGTGGTTAAGAATCCTCCTGCCAATGCAGGGGACATGGGTTCAAGTCCTGGTCCAGGAAGATCCCACATGCTGTGGAGCAACTAAGTCAGTGCGCCACAACTTAAGCCTGCGCTCTAGAGCCCGTGAGCCACAAATACTGAGCTCCCGTGATGCAACTACTGAAGCCCCCATGCCTAGAGCCCGTGCTCTGCAACAAGAGAAGCCACCAGGATGAGAAGCCCACATACCGCACGAAGAGTAGCCCCCGCTCACCGCAACTAGAGAAAGCCCATACACAGCAACCGAAGACCCAAGGCAGCCAAAAATAAATAAATTAAATAAATTAATTAATAAATAGCTCACTTAAAAAAAAAGAAACTTGCCCATGATCACACAGTTGTAAATGGTGGGCTGAGGATAAAAGCTTAAGCACTACGACTCCAGAGCTCATGCTATTATCTATTACAAACATTTTGTCATCAGTCATTTACCAACTGAAATTTAAGCTGTATGAAGATTTTTCAGATGATCTAGAATGAACTCTCAAGCTTAATTTGTGACTCAGAGATGGCATTTAATGATAGATAATAACTCTCCAAACTGCAATTTCTTCCAGAGATGAATGCCAAGAAAATTGAGTTTGAACAATTTCTGCCCATGATGCAATCTATTTCCAACAACAAGGACCAGGGCACCTATGAAGACTTTGTTGAGGGTCTGCGTGTCTTTGACAAGGAAGGCAATGGCACCGTTATGGGTGCTGAACTTCGTCATGTACTAGCTACACTAGGTAAGAAATATTCATTTCAGTGGACTTAATAGAACAGAATATATAGGAAAGAGCATGAATTAGGGCAATCATGTTATAACCAAAATAAGTAGGGGGAAAGACTACAAACAGAAAATGAAAAAGAATAGTCAAAAGTTAATGACCATATCAATTAACCTCAATGTCAATGAGTTTATTTGGGGGAAATGATAACTTAAATTATTGGTATTGAATAAGTAATGTGCAGCATTGTAGTTCTTACAGGATAGAGTTTGGATGATCAGGTATATAGTGTGCATTTAAGTCATTTATTCAAAAACAATTTATTGATAACCTTCTGGCTAGAGAACAGGAAGGGCTTAGTTTCTATCCTCCGAGAGGTTATAGTCTCCAGGAGTCCAAAACTGATCACTTACAGTGGAATGTTGAAAATATTCTCTGGTTTTCTTTTTGAAGAAAGAGTTTTGTTTCATCAGGTGAAAAGATGAAAGAGGAAGAAGTGGAAGCCCTGATGGCAGGTCAAGAAGACTCCAACGGCTGCATCAACTATGAAGGTACAATCTCACATGCTCTGGTGGTTACAGCAACTCTGAACTGATTGGGTTGACGATGGACAACTTTTGAGCTTAAAACAACTTATCTTCTCTATCTCTCTTATTCAATAAGAGAACATACAAATGTTACTTATTATCAATCAGTTATATAATAACTCTAAAAAGATATCTTGTAAGGACCTGACTATATACATAAGATTTACTCCAGTGGGTTTTAACATTCCTGTGCATTATTATACAGGTTAAAATGTGTTTTCACTTTTATCTTTTCTTGTTAGATCTTCACAACACCTCTGTAAGATGGAGTTTGTGTCAGAATAAATTTTAATATTAAATACTAATATCCTTTAATATTACAGTTGGAGAGATCTCAAAATCCTTTACAGCAAGCAGTTATGAAAATGAGGAATCCGAAGGCCAAAGATACTTAGCTATTTAGTGAAGGTCACATCATTAATGGCAAAGCTGGTGCTAAAATTTATATCTCCTTTTCTAGTGTTCTTGCTTAAATGAAATTTATCTCATAGTGGCCAATTCTCTACTTCCTGCCACCAATTTTTTTTAACATCTTTATTGGAGTATAATTGCTTTACAATGATGTGTTAGTTTCTGCTTTATAACAAAGTGAATCAGCTATACATATACATATATCCCCATATCTCCTCCCTCTTGTGTCTCCCTCTCACCCTCCCTATCCCACCCCTCTAGGTGGTCACTAAGCACTGAGCTGATCTCCCTGTGCCATGAGGCTGCTTCCCACTAGCTATCTATTTTACATTTGGTAGTGTATATATGTCCATGCCATTCTCTCACTTTGTCCCAGCTTACCTTTCCCACTCCCCGTGTCCTCAAGTTCATTCTCTATGTCTGCGTCTTTATTCCAGTCCTGCCCCTAGGTTCTTCAGAACCTTTTTTTTTTTTAGATTCCATATATATGTGTTAGCATATGGTATTTGTTTTTCTCTATCTGATTTACTTCACTCTGTATGACAGACTCTAAGTCCATCCATCTCACTACAAATACCTCAATTTCGCTTCTTTTTATGGCTGAGTAATATTCCATTGTATATATGTGCCACATCTTCTTTATGCGTTCATCTGTTGATGTACACTTAGGTTGCTTCCATGTCCTGGTTATTGTAAATAGAGCTGCAATGAACATTGTGGTACATGTCTTTCTGCCATCAATTTATAGCAGCTTCACCCAGAGGGTCTGAAAAGCAACACACCACACAAAATAAAGATGCAAGAAAAAGTTGCATGATATAGGGCTTCCCTGGTGGCGCAGCGGTTGAGAGTCCGCCTGCCGATGCAGGGGACACAGGTTCGTGCCCCGGTCTGGGAGGATCCCACATGCCGCGGAGCGGCTGGGCCTGTGAGCCATGGCCGCTGGGCCTGCGCGTCCGGAACCTGTGCTCCGCAATGGGATAGGCCACAGCAGTGAGAGGCCCGCTTACCGCAAAAAAAAAAAGTTGCATGATATAACTTGTAAATTTAAAATTTTGCAACAAAATTGAAAAACTTATCCATCCCCCCAAGAAACTAATCTAACCACATCTCAATAAAGCTATGTTGACAGCTTTGATATAAATATGGAGTTATAAAGTCTAACAACTTGGAAAAAAGTAAGACAAGAAAAGCAGAGGGGCGGGAAGAGAAGTGGAAAGGAGAGAAAAAAAGAGAACAGGAGAAAAGAAAAAACTAAGCCAAGCATATCTTCACTGACAATCTTGGTTAAACTTTACTTTTTTCCTATAAACTATGTTTTACATTCGGGTACTGCCATAAGTACATTAGATAAAAGAAGAATCATTCAATAAATATTGTTTGGACAAGGGTATAGTCATTTAGGAAATAAAGGCAGATCTCGATCTCCTACTAGGATAAATTTCACATGAGTCAAACATTTGAATGTAAAAGCTAAAAGTATAAAACCCATGGAAAATTATTTATAACTTTTGGAATGGGAAGGCATTTCCAGCACTGATACAAAACCCAGAAGGTATTACAAATTTCAATAAATTCAACCACATTATTTTTTTTATCTAAGTGGCAAGCCACCAGAAACAAAGTCAAAAGACAAATAGCAAACCAGAAAAAAAAATCTGCAATCAACATCAGAAGGTTCATTTGCCTAATTTTAAAAAAAGTTACAAATTAATAAAAAGACCACAACCCAAGAGAAAAATTAACAAGTACATGAACAGACAATTCATAGGGAAGGAAATAAAAATATATATGAATATAATATGCTGAACTTCACTAAATAATAAAAGAAATGCAGATTAACACTACACTTAGATATACTGATTGCCAAAATTAAAAGTTTAACCACACTTTAGGTTGAGGACAGTGTATGGAAACAGGTGATCTCATGCATTCTTGTTGGGAATATAAATCATTAAAATCCCTATGTGGTGATGTGGTATTAATTATTAATTCCAGCAAATCTACTTCAAGGGATGTAGTCTTTACACATACTTGCACTCAAGTGAAATGAGTGATATATGATTATTCATATTCATTATTCATTACTGTGTTGCTCGCAATAGCCAAATATTTGAACAACTTAATGTCCATCAATGTACGATGTATCGAATAGATTTTGGTACATCTTCACAGTGAATTTCCCTACAGACCTAAAAGAAGAACAAGGACACCCTTGTTTATGATTATGGTAATATTTCTAAGATACATTATGAAGTGAGAAAAGCAAGTGCAAAAGAGTTTGTAGAACATGCCACCATTTGTGCAAAAAAGATTTTTACAAACATATATTTGTATTTTCTTATACATGCATAATAGCTCTACCAACTTTGCTATAAAGAGAGGAACTAGATAGCTGGGAGACAGTGGTGAAGAACATTTTTTTTTTATAAACTCTTTCATACTTTCAAGGAAAAATTTTAACCATGTGAACATAACATGTAATCAGAAAGCTAAACTTACAAAATCGGGGAAAAGCCATAAATCCAGTATTAAGAACAGTAAGTTATACAGAGTTTAAATAAACTCTAGAGTTATAACTAGGAATAATTAGAATTGAGTTAACTTACTATACTGCTCTCTTATTAAATTTGACTGTGTTCTAACTCTAAACTGTATTATCCCTACAGCTTTTGTCAAGCACATCATGTCTGTCTAAATGGAGCTCTCAAGGTATCTGTTTCCTTTTTAATATATAAGGGTTTCTCAATATTGTATTTTTTTAATGTAACAGCCTCACTTATATGCTGTGGATATAATTAGTATTGCTTCTTAATGAAGTTATTTATATTAACCAGAACACATTAATATAATTAATATTATATTAATACTAACAAGTTATTTATATTAACCCATCTCCTTGATATGGGTTATTTAGAAATACATTTTTGTAAAAGTGTACAAGCAAAAACTTCTGAGGTTTTTGCTTTCATGTATAGATCCTATCTTTGTCTGTACTATAATTAAGCAGTGGAGATTCAACAAACCAGAGAATAGCTGATTAATTTAGTTGGAACATAACAATAATAAAAGCATTAGCCTATATTCTTTGAAAAATTGAAGTAGTTTTTAACAATTACTGCTCTAGAAAACCATACTATCACAGTCCAAAGTGCAGCACTTGAAACCAGGTTCTTGCAGCAAGGAAATGCCTTACCTTGGAAATGATGGTTCATTTTGTGCTTTTTCTTCTTTTTCACTTTACACTATTTCCTTCCCCATTTCCTTTCTGAAAAGATGCAATCAACATCTAACTCTTTTTCCTTTACAGATCAAGCATTGTTTATGAAGACTGGCTGGAACCTTATTCTAAGAACACCCATGACTAACTGTCCAAATCTGTTTACCATCATTCAGAAAAACAAAACAATGTGGACCATTTTAGACTGAAGGACTCCCTGAATTTTTATACATCTTACGTTTCTCTCTGAATTATATTCATATCACACAAACCAAGTGTCTGCTGCTCTAGACAAGAAGGATAAAATACTGACAATCTCAAATCCAAGCACTGCTCTTTATTTTCTACCATGGGTCAAAGAACATCCTTAAAATAATAAATCAATAAATAATTTTGGTCAGTCTGGAATGTTCAAGTCGCACTGTTTTTATCTTCTTGCTTAGAGAAACTTATTTTTAAAACCCCAATTCTTTTGTTAATGTACAGAATATTGATGAATTATAAAATTTTAAGAGAATAAATAATTATAGTCTACACAACAATAACTGAATAATAATGATAATCATATATCATTGAAAATGCAAAATAGAAAACTGAGGAAATTCAGATAGGATCAGAGATGGTTTAATATAAGCTATCTGGCAATTTAAGATGAAAGCAGGTTTCTTCAGTTTTGTGTAAATCACTGTATACATAGCTTGACCTATTTCACTTCTAGTGACAGTCTGGCCTATTAGAAAATTCTAATAAGCCCTTGATATGTCTCACCGAATGTCTTCAAGGATAAAATTTAAAGTGACCTTTCAGCTGTTACTTAAAAAAACGTCTCTGGGGATGAGACTCTTGCTCAAGAACTCAAGATCCTGTCTATTAAAATTCTCTCTCCTGCTATGATTTCCTCTACTTTGCATGTCCATGTCCCCAAAACCTTGGTTCTATCTTTTTTATTTTTTAACATCTTTATTATGTAATTGCTTTACATTGTTGTGTTAGTTTCTGCTGTATAACAAAGTGAATTAGCTATACATATACATATATCCCCATATCCCCTCCCTCTTGCGTCTCCTTCCCACCCTCCCTATCCTACCCCTCTAGGTGGTCACAAAGCACCGATCTTTTAATACATGCTCTAAATGATAAGATTAATTGATAGACAAGTTTATCGTGTAAACTCACTTCATCATATCATATTGCTATCATGTATCACTTTTCCTTTAGAATAGAAGCAGAATTTGCAAGTTAGTAGTTGGATATTTAGAAGAGATGAAATGATAAATAGTTCTCCCACTCTCTAAAAAGATATCCTTAAAATATATGGGATTTCAAAATCTCTGAAAATTACCTGCCTGCCTATACATTTTTGGAACCTGAAACAATTCTGTCCTGATGTCGGGCACTTCAGGTCATCATGCTCCTATCTTTAGCAAGGGTCACTCAGATTTCAGTAGCCAACAGCTTTAACTTTGACCTAAGTTTCTGTAGCCAAGATGATGTTGGGACATCACAATCATTCTTTTAAGGAGAATTTACTATGGCCTCAAGATCTTTAAGGCTAAGTTTGCCTAAGACCAGAAATTGGATATTTCACACAGCACTATGCAATAGAGCCTTCAGTAAAAATGGAAATTTCTATCTACATTGTTCTGTATGGTAATCACGAACCACACTTGTTGACTGAAATGTGGCTAGTGTGACTGCAGAATTGAATTTTTAATTGTATCTCATTTTAATTAATATAAACAGCCACATGTGGCTCATGCATACCATACTGAACAGAGTAGCTCTCAATACATATTTATATTTGGTTGTTACATCAGGAAATAAAATGTGTTTTTAAAAATTATAAATGTCAGCATGTAGAGAAATTGACTGGTACAAACAGTCCAATCATAAAAGGATAATTTTTGCTTTGGAATATGTGGCTAAATTTCCCATCTTCTACACTCCTTTAACACTTTTCAATTAGAAAAACGTGATGTCTACAAGGCACTAAATTTTTTGTTCTCAAGCTTCATATTTAATATTTTTCTCTCAAGACCTCATAAAACTGCTTTAACTCCCCATGGGATAACAATCTAGTACACTGTCATGGGACCTACCCTTATTAAATTACCATGTGTAAGATGTCCATAACTCAAGTTGTAGCAGGTGCAAAATAGAGTAGCAGGCGGAAGAGTGACAGTAATTTTTAACATCTACACCAGCTGGCAAAAATGACAGGTGCTTAATTCCTCAGTCTTTAAAAATAACTGTTGAAAAGTCTACACAGCAAAGCAAATATTTTCAAGTTTGCTTTTTAACTATCTTCAAGTTAAAGACTGATATATATTAATATAATGTAATATTATACATTAATTTTTTGCCTTAAAGTATATTTAAACTTAGCACACAAGAACTTAATTTTTCTCCTCTATGAATGAAATAAACAATGATTATTAAATTAGAGAAATAAAATTTTATTTTTCTCAATCAACATAATATCCAAAATAACTCTTGATGTATTTTTCTGTAACTGTATTTACATGTCTTTTTCCATGGTGGCAAATATACCTTGAAACTTAAAAAAGTGGATAAAGAATATCTTCCTTTAAATTCTAAGTCTAGAGAAAATCATGAATCCAAAGACTTATTCAACAAACCAAGTCAAAAAAAAAAAAAAATAGAGGAGATTGAATGGCAAGTATCTGAAATCTAGATTAAAGAGTTACATCTTCTTGAATTATCAAGATAACTGAAGCTAAGGAAGAGCAAAACAATGGAATAATTCAGGCAATTTCACAGTTCGATGAGTGAGCTCCAGGCTAAGAGAGTCAGTGCGAAGGAAGGGTGATGAGGTTCCAAACACCTGCTGAGAATTTTTCCAGAAACTTCATATCGAGATAATTTTTTTTTAGTTATTCAGTAATATATGGTAGGAAAAAGTACTAGCTATACCCTACTTTGTCCTTCACCTGCCAGCACCTGTGACTGGCCAGAGTCTGCTTCTACCATGGCCATGCAAAACTGCCATGCAAAACTGAAAGGCAGAACCACGCTTTGGCCAGGGCAGATGTGGCCCATGACCTGGACCTCACACTGTAGACCTCACACTCTGGTTCTCCTCCAGAGCCAAGGAATCTACCCAAAAATAGAGTATGCCCCTTCTGGAACCCATGTCCCCACTCCTACACACTCTGGATACCCAGAACCCCAGATTTCCTTGCCCAAATGACCCCAAGCTCTCTTCCAGAATGTGGGTGGGATTCTTCCTAGGTCTATCCTCCTAAAGGAAGACTACAAACCAAAGACCAACAGATGGCCAAAGCCAGCTATTTTCGTTTTGTTTTGTTTAAACTAAGGATAGAATTAACCACAAGGTCCCTGCAGTGCAGGATGGAACTGGAGGTGGGAACTGAAGGAGGGCAGGCCACAATATCACCAAGGAGTCCAAGAATTATAACCTGGCCTTCCAAACTATTATGAAGCTATATTTGTCAAGGGAGTTACAGAGTATATATTATGCAACAGTGTATTAGTTTGATAACTTTTAAGTATTTAAACTTATGATTAGTGGACCTCAGTTTGAACTCTTGCCCCAGGCCTGCAAACATAGGGGTAGACCTGCTGAGCAAGGATAGAACTCAGACTTTTCAGGGACAGATCTTTAAGTGGCCCATAAATACTCCAACAAACACCAGAAATCCCTTGAACTTTTAAAAAATATTAACAGTTACAGCGGTCAAGATGGCAGAGTAGGAGGACCCTGAGCACACCTTCTCCCACAGACACACCAAAATTACAACTACTTACAAAGCAACTATCTATGAAAACAACCTGAAAGCTAACAGAAAAGATTTTCCACAACAAAAGACATAGTCACAATGAGATGAATAGGAGCGGCAGAGACGTGGTATAGTCAGGACCCCAGTCAGCAACCCACAAATGGGAGGAATATCACAATTGCAAAGTCCTCCCCAAGGGGCAAGAGCTCCAAGCCCCACATCAGAATCCCCAGCATAAAGGTCCTTCACCATGAAGACAAGCCCCCAAGACATCTGGCTTTGAAAACCAGTGAGGCTTATGTTCAGGAGAGCTAGAAAGCTACAGGAAACAAAGACTGCTCTTGAAGGGTGTGCACAAAATTTCACATGTTCTGAATCCTAGTGCAGGGGAAGTAATCTGAAAGGAGCCTCAGTAAGACCCATTTGTTCATCTTGGAGACCCTCCCAAAGAGAGGAGACACCTGGGACGCCCCCTGAGGATGGAGATGCAGGCAGCAGTCAATTTGGGAAGCTCGTTCTACAGCAATAACACTGGTACTGGCAAGAGTCATTTTGGAATCCTCCCTCTAGCCTAATTAGCACCAGGAGCTTACCTACCCCACCAGCAAGTGGGCACCAGCCCAGAGCACTCTGGGCCATGTAGACAGTTATGCAGGGGCCCAACCCCACCCACCAGTTAGCTAGCACCAGCTCCATATACCCCTCCCAGGTCGCATGGGGACCTGGCCCAAACTTCTAGCAGGCTGGCACCAACATGCGCCTCCTACCCCCCTGCCCATCCATTCAGCCAATCACATGGAAAGCCTACCTCACCTTCTAATGGAACTGCAGCCACTATAAAGTCACGTTCTTGTAGTCAACTGGGCTGGGAGCCAGGCCTGCCAACCAGTGTGCCTACAGTAGTTGGCCCCACCACGAGAAGGGCACATGCAGCCCACATAAGAGCACTCCTAGAGCATATAACTCTGGTGACAAGAGGGGAGCATGCTGCTGGGTCCCACAGGACCTCTCCTACATAAGGCCACTTCTCCATGATCAGGAAATGTCACCCACTGACCTAACACTTAGAAATAGATACAAAGGATTGGGCAAAATAAGGAGACAGGGGAATATGTTCCAAATGAAGAAATAAGATATGACCTCAGAAGAAGAACTAAACAAAGGGGAAATAAGCAATCTATCCAATAAAGAGTTCAAGGTAATAATCAAAAAGATGCTCACTGAACTCAGGATAAGAATAGAGGAACACAGTGAAAAGTTTAACAAAAAGTTAGAAAATATTGATATAAAGAAGAACCAGAGCTGAAAAATACAATAACTGAATACAATGGAAAGAATAAATAGTAAATTAGATGATACAAAGGAACTGATTAGTGATCTAGAAGACAGAGTAGTGGAAATCACCCAAGCTGAACAGAAAAGAGTAAAAAGAATTTTTTTTAATGAGGATAGTTTAAGAGACCTCTGGGACAACATCAAGTGTACTAACATTCACATCACAGGCGTCCCAGAAGGAGAAGAGAGAGAAAAAGTGGCAGAGAACTTATTTGAAGAAATAATAACTGAAAACATCTCTAACCTGGGGAAGAAAACAGACATCCAAGTCCAGGAATCACAAAGAGTCCCAAACAGGATGAAAACAAACAG